GGAACTTTCCTTTTTCTTCTTAAGCCAACGCACCAGCAGTCTAACAGCACGTGAGCATCACGTCAGTAGTGTAAATCAAGCTCAGTCTCGATTCACCCCAGATTAGTATCCTTTGCTTCTTGGCCAATTCTATTTGATGATCGGTGAACCCTTTGACTCAACATTTTCAGGAGCACAGCCTATTAGTTACCCACCGCTGATAGTCCCTTAAGAGGAATCTGCCTTAGTAGTGATTTATAGTTCAAGGCATTGCGGCAACACTGGACCCTAGTGAATTAATCTCATCGAGTGCTCTTTTTTTAGAAGCAGCTATCACTGAGCTACTTGAATAGATGATTTTGGAACAAATAACAATATAAAACAATTTTACGAAACCAAAATAATTGTCTAATTAGTTTTCACAGTAATTTAAATCAAATTTTTACTACGAAACTTCACTATCATTCTGTGGGTGTAAGGAATTATCTTTCGCTTTAAGCCGCGTCGTTGGTATTAGTTACATTTAGGTTAATTTAGGTGAATAAGGTCACGTGGATCTACCGCTAATAGGCTTTCGGCAAACAGCCGGACCGCCCCTACGTTAACTCCAAAAATAGACGAATCGAACTGTTCCGAGATCAATAAATTCTTGTTCTACGCCGCCATTGTGGATATTTCGCGCTAAAACTGAATTAGAATTTATTGGGATAAAAACTTTTGTTATTTTTCTCCGACTTCGAATTAGTTTTTTGTTTTATTTTTATTAGCTCTATAGGTAGGGGACAAAGAGCTCAGAATTACTTTTCGATATCGAGTCGTGGGAACCCGCTCCTCAGCGCGAACGCTCATGGCTGGAGTCCCACAAGGCTGTCTTTTCGCCGCTCCTATTTAGTTTATTCATCAACGATATAGCCCGGTCGCCGCCGACCCAGTTAGCATTATTCGCCGACGATACAACCGTTTACTATTCGAGTAGGGACAAGTCCCTTATAGCGAGTAAGCTTCGGAGCGCAGCCGGACAGTGGTTCCGAAAATGGCGCATAGATATAAACCCAATGAAAAGCACAGCGGCGCTATTTCAAAGAGGAAACTCTACACGAATTTCCTCCCGAATTAGGAGGAGAAATCTCACACCCCCGGTTACCCTCTTTGGCCAATCTATTCCCTGGGCCTCCTGGCCCAGGTCGAGTACTTGGTAGTCACCCTGGATGCATCCATGACATTCCGCCCGCATATTAAAATAGTTTGCGGCTGTGCCGCGTTTATTCTCGGCAGAATTTACCAAATGACATGTAAGCGGAGTAAAATGTCCCTTCAGAACAAGGTGACAATTTACAAAACTTGCATACGACCTGTCATGGCTTACGCGAGTGTGGTGTTCACTCACGCGGCCCGCACACACATAGACACCTTCGAATCCCTGTCATCACGCTTTTGCAGGCTAGCCGTCGGGGCTCCATGGTTCGTGAGGAACGTCGACCTACACGACGACCTGGACCTCGAATTGATCCGCAAACACATGAAGTCAGCGTCGTAACATTACTTCGATAAGCTATGCGTCATGATAATCGCCTTATCGCCTTAGCCATGTTCTCATGGATCCATCAGATCTGATAATTCTTGCATTAGATGCCTTCAGCTTTAACACTAGGAGCAGGCTAAGGGACTCCGGTAACCGTACACATCGAACTTGGCAAAGAGTTCGACGTGCAACCTAACCCATGCATCAGCCCGCTAAGTTTCTCGCCGGATCTTCACAACTGGTCGCGATTCCAATCCGATAGTAGATTCATTCGCGAAGCAGCTGCTCTTGAGTTGTTAGGTCTCCTTCGGAGGCGCTCGGGCAGCTGTTAGCAAATCCCACCCCTACTGGCTGAGCCTTTGCTCGCCCACCTCTCTTGGTGAAACTGGAAAAGCCTCCAGGCCACCAAAAGCCCTCAGTCATAAAAAAGCTCAGAATCCACTCTTTGATGATAGCTCTTGTCGATAATACTACATCCTACCAGAAACTGTACAATCTAGCTAAATATAGGTTACAGGTACCTATAAACTATCATAAGCTATTATACCTGCCTATTGTCAAAATAAAACTTAGTCAATTGCCTACTGTCAATACTATTTATTTAAGAACAAATTAACCCTTGCATTGGCGGTGGCTTGAATTAACAAAATAATTGTAGTTCTATTACAAAAATAAAAAGTAATTCTACTGCTAATTGTTTCACTGCTTTAGTTATGTTGCTATTTTTCGAATCGGTGATAAAATTTCATTATGATATCCGTATAAAATCCAAATTGAAAAAAAATATAATTTGAATTTTGAAGTGAAGTTAAAAGCAGTCGTCATGTCTCAGGATTACGGATTAGACTCCCTGGACATTGGTATTAGGTGATGCGCTTGTGCGGATTTTCGAATCGCCCAAACAGATAACAAATTTTCTACTGAAATACGTATACTTAACACATATTCACGACTGACTTCCACTGCGAAGGACTAACACCGTGTAGTAAAAAATACACTCGCAAAAAAAAATGCGCATTTAATGGGTAATTCATTAGCAAGGCGTTTTGTGGGCACTGCCTATTTTTGCTGGGAAGCAGTAATGCGTTTCGGTTTGAACTTTAAAGGATAAGGCAGCCGTTAGACTATAAAAAAGTTTTAGAACTCATGTCTCTATATGCGTGACAATTACGTTGATGATATCTATATGTCGTGGATAACGACTTTTAGTAATATTAATACGGTGGTTTTGATTATTATTTTAAATGATGAAATGTTGTTTTGATAAATATCACAAAATGAAGGGTAGACTCCGTAACGCCACAGTATAAAATGGCGGTACGTGGACAGAGTCGTGGCATTCCGTGTCAGACAGTCATTCCGTCCGTCTCAGTCAGTGAGTCTCTGACAGTCAGTCAGTCGGTCTGTCGGTATGTGGAACGAAACTGTCGGTTTACCCTGTCATTGTGAAAGTTGTGTGTATTGAGTTTCAATAATTATTACTGAAAAGTTTTATTGACTAAACTGAGTTCAATCGAATACGAGTGATGACGGAATCTACCGCTCAGCCATCCCTGACGTGTGCTGACATATATATCTATAATGATATCTATTGACCACTTAACATCAGATGCGCCATGAGCTAGTCCAATTATATACTCAAAAAAATAGAACATAGGCTTCCAATGATTCCCATGCAAAACTACCATTGACCATAATATGATCAATAGCTCTTGTGTTTTTATTTATTTCGATAGCTAACCGACTCATGGCCTACAGAAGAGCTTATAGACCTCTTAATGTAATAAGAATTTCTCCATCCTCCTTGAGATATAAGGTTAAACTCTAAATTCTAATACAGTAACGCTGCGTACTAAAAATAGGCTCTGTCACCAAATATTTTATATTTGTACGCTTCATTATATTGCTCAATCTTATTTATATGGTGGAACTACTTCGTAAGCATATAATGTTGCCCAATCACGAAAATAGGACACTTCACATTACGTACATTGTTCAAATGGAAATTATAAATTATTCTTTCGATTTTTTATTATCGATTAAAAAATTCTGCGACTAAATCAATTTAAAACTTAGGTGGTCGACTTGTTTCACACGTTTCTTTGATATTAACACATAACGTATCATCAGATGTGTTTGTAGGATAATTGAAAGATCTACTTACCATAAAAAGGTTTCTTTGTTTAACAGTTTGGCTATGGAGCTTTAAACCTAATTTTAATTTACAGTTTGTTAGACTTCTCGTGAATTGGTATCCTTAATGGTGCTGCCATTACTCACACACCGCATACAATTTATGATACCAATATAGAGGTCAGCTGTAGCGTCAAGAAATTAAGATGGCGTTATTGTCGCAAAATTTATAGATTTTGAGAGTGTGATAATATTTTTTCTCGTACATTGTGTTCAACACAGCAAATACTTTTTTGTACCTTCTCTTGTTCTTGCAAGTCGTCAATATAATTAATACTACTTTTAGGGATCATCTCGCGTTTTTTTTCATTTTATTATCTTACATACGCGTTATAAATAGTTTACAATTTTCGTGATTACGCATGACTGAGATGTTGTTCGTTGACATTTAAAATATTTCTCCCACTAATTATCTGAAAATTTCATTTTTCTAAATACATTAAAAAATAGTACAAACAAAAATAAGCTAATTTTTTTTTTGTGTTTTTCCATTTTTTGAGTTGTGCCCTTGAACAGCTGTATGCCTGGGTAATATTCAGGGGCGTTTACCCAAGCCTCCAATCACTGCCTGAGACAGAATCCAGGAGAAGGGTTGTGCCGTCAAAACTGTTGGAGGTCATAGGCCGAATAGCGATACATAGGCAACCGAAGGCCTCAACATCGCCAATCGGGGCAGACGGCTGTTTCAATCTAATAAGTATTTTTGCACGTTAAAAAATATTGGCCCAATTCAATTCAATTGTAGAATTTTAATATTATTTAAAAATCATGTTTCGCATCTAAATTTTTGCCAATTTCTTTAAAACTTATTACATTTCAAAAACCCAATTTGAGATTGTTGGACGGTTAAATTTGAGGGATTGGGTTCTTTAGGTGATGAGGGGCTATTTAAAAACACAACTGCTTCATTATAATTATATTGCAGATTGCTTGAACACTTTTAAACCATTATACAATTATTATCTTTATATTTTTTTAATAAAACTATTACATGTTTGTCTTGCCGTGTCTAGATGAGAAGTAATGACATTTTCTTAGGAGAATACAATGATCTGTTTTTTAAACATTTAAAATCATTCTAATATTCGAAATCTAATCAAGTGTCAAGTGTTGCCTGCCATTACATTTAATATACAAACTCCAACAGAGATCATATTCAAATTCCTATTATCATGATAGCTCTGAGTAGCGATTATTTAATTGATTTTACATTTTGGTGGATGGTCTTAATAACAAGTGTATTATCTGTGTGGTGATCTGTGGTAAATGTTTGTTTATGTTCTGGTAACTTCGTTGACAGCCAACATTCCGTCAGTGTTGTATTTCGCTTAAAATAAACCACAAAATTATATTAGAAATAAAGAAAATTAGAGATAATTTTCAATAATTTTAATAAAAAAATCGCTATTAAGCAAAATGATGTACAGGTGATATTTGAAATTTAGCAACAAATGGAAGCATTTACCAGGACTCCATTGTGATGAAAAATGTCTTGCTACGGATCTGTGTATAATCGGACAAAACGAAAGTGTGAACAGTATATTGTGATATTCGAATTTTAAATTTTGCTATTAGGAAATTTAAACAAAAATGGCGCAGACTCTTCGTAGAGCAGTAGAGGGCAGGTACCCCTCTTGCTATTTACCCAATCGATTGAAAGAAAGGAAAGCCAAAGCTAAAGCTTTGAGGTAAGAATATGATATTACTAGACATATAATGGCAGCAGCAGCGCAGCGATAGTATTTCACATTTTCCATTCAATCTCTGAATTTTATCAAAAAAATTATAGATAACATTTATTTACATATCTCAAGGTTGTTTTATTTTATGAAAACAATATTGCATATTTCCTTATTTCAATTAGGTAGATCAATATATAATAGGATTTCAAATCACTCAACTAAAATAAAATAAATTTGGTAATTAGGTTTATGGGCTTGTCATATTTGTTGCCCACCATGCTTTTTAGCCAATTCTCACGTCATTTCGGATCCTCCCGATCCACTATCCAAGCACCGGTCATCGTTCTCGTCGAAACAATCGAACGCACTGAACGGTTCGGCAAGCAAATTAACCCTCAGACACAGTTTCTTGCTGCATCTTCTCAGTAGATCGCATTTCTGATGGTAAATTCTGGAAAGTAATGCCCCTCCTAGGGCTAGTGTCAGCAAATTCGCCAGGCTGATCCCCGTGAGCTCTCCTACGCATTTGGTAAAACTGGTATAACCCCTAGAGGGTAGCAGCATAGTTAAGCAACAAATACCAACTTATAGTTTCAAAAAACTCAATCTGCATCAGGGAAGTGAAAATTAAACTGGACTGTTAAATTTTGTTGTATGTGTAATACTAATAATTTTAGTTGTTACTAAGCCCTTTGTTCTGTTTACCAACGAATCCTAATCGATTAAAAAAATTACTCAACAAAACAAAATTTCAGATTAGAGCAACGTAAACCAGACAAACCGGAAGATTTCGTTTGCTATTCAGACAGTGACAGTGAAGAGGAAACACCGACGCAGCAACATCAAATTTTATCAACGTCATATAATTTTGTCGACTATGTACGTTCACGAGAAATACTTGCTCCTGAGGTAATTGACTGATTTAAGAATTTTGTTTACCTAAATTTTTGTGTATCTCGAAAATAAGTGCAGTTTTAAATGAATCTCCCTTAATTACAAAAACCAATTATCACAAAAATTTAAATTTTATGACAATGGTCTAACATAATGGAGGGGTGTTAGAGATTGATACAAAATAAATTTTATCCTACTATTACTTGAAAGGGCTTCATAACAAGACACCCTCAACACACTCCAGTTTGTTAGGATAAAAAAAAATCATAATGGTTGGAATAGGCCAATAATGAAAAAAGATAACAAAAACACAGATGAAACCGATATTATTAGTTTGGCTAAAGACTTTCAAGCCAGGTCACTCTCATGCATGATGGATACTAGATACATAAACATGAGACACAATGGGTAGATTCAAATATCTTAGATAAATCAGATTCATTGATAACTAGATATAGCACCTAAATCAATAATAATAAAATATTATTTAGAAAAAGATAGGTAATATTTGTATTAAACATTCAGTGATAATAAAAGCAGTGTGGCCAGGCCGCCCAGTGACATTCTTGCTGTATCTTCTCAGTGGGCTGTGATTCTGATCTGTTGGTAGATTCTGCGAAGCACCGCTCTTGCTAGGGCTATTAATAGCATAACCACCAGGTTAGAGCCCCCCACTCATTCGGGAATCTAGTATGACCCCACAAGGTCAGTAGAATAGGTAGGAAAATAAAAGATTTAACCCTTTAGGCTACCAGTGAATAGGATATTGATAAAGTCAGTTACAATTTTAATTATTTTTTTGTTCTATTTTTTATTCCAGCCTCGATCAGTTGACCCATCGTATGCAACCCGACACATGCTCACACATGATATGTTTCATGAGACACCAGTCAACCTCGGTAACATGAACAAGGTCTTCTGCTCACAATGGCTATCAGACAGACAAGTTGTATTTGGCACCAAATGTAACAAGGTAGGTTATGTGAAACACAGCTGATAGTCATGCGCATGTGATTGGTCTAAAACAACATCCCGCCATTAATGTTTTCACTTGAGCATCACATTAGAGATTTCAAACTTAAAATGAACAATGTGCTTTTAAATGATCATTTCAAACCAAATGGTTGTAGAAACCTTGCCAATAATCCCTCAACACTAATCTCCAACAGAATTGGTTCCAAAACTGTCAAAACAAAACCAGAGACCTCTTTCTTTTTGTTTCTGTTATAAGATTTATATATTTGAGACCAAATACAAATTATCAAAAGAAAAAACTTAAACTTTCAACTATTTATGTCCAGTTAATGGTGTATGATGTCCGCACTCGGTCCTTGGACGCCATCCCCACCCTGCGCCCGCGCGCCGCCTGGCCGCCGCCGGACCACCAGACCGGCATACACGCGCTCCAGATCAATCCTTCCAGGTAACACAAGTGTATGTTATGTGCCGATCAAGTGTATGTATAACCATGATGGTACAAGGAGAAAATGATACTTTAAAACACACCGCGAACATATCGACGCTTGAAAGGCAAACGTTACTAAATGACAATAACTGCTTTATACATAAATGATAGGCAATAAACCATATTGGATACGCGAAAAAAAAAAACCTGGTCTATTAAAATCATTTCAATCCTACAGCTAGATTCGTTAAAATAGATTTTTTTTTTCAGGTTTTCAACTTTAAATTAGTCTACTGTAAAGTTCACGCATTGTCGCTTAGTCACGTTTGCCTTTCAAGCGTCGATATGCTCTGAATGTTTGCAATGAAATTCGCTCTGGTATTGAGTGATAGGATCACAAAAATGAGATAATAGGATCTCCTTAAACAAATTTTCTCCCGTTTAGATACATAGTAGAGCACAGACTCTGAGAGTAATGGTCTATGATAAGAATAACTAACTTTTCTATTTAATTTACTTGCTAAACAAGCACAGGACACTAATTTGAATAAAACTCCCAAATCCACAAAAGCGATTAATCTGTAATAATTGTGAATTAACATTTGACAACCAGAGATCATTCACACTCCCATTTTATAATCATAATATATCCGAAATACATACATAAAATGTGTACGTTAGCTCTTTGTTTTCTTTCAAAGTATCTTAAATAATTTATGACACAAAAATTATGACTCCCAATACCTATTTATTTTGTTTGTCATGTCTAACCTAATTTACCGATACGAGATGATTTGTACTTGTAATCTATTTATGACAGAACACTGCTAGCGACTGGTGCGAGGAATTCTTGTGAATTAGCCATATACAGCCTACCTACACTAGACCCGGTCTGCGTTGGAGAAGCTCATAAAGATTGGGTGAGTAATCTATACTAATATCACACAGGCTTAATGCCATTTCACTTGAACACAGCGTAAACTTTGAAGCTATTAACCTTATAGCTTTCAGCCATTTTGCATTCAGTTTTGTTTTGCTGTCTATATCATTAAGTCATTATTATAGTCTACCTGTCATATGAATAGTTAGATTTTACTAATGAAATATTCCAATGTCCCTAGTATTGTTTAGATATACCTCAGCACATTTTGTTTGAAGTTCAAAAGTGTCATTTTTTGTAAAACAGATCCTGGACATGTGCTGGCTGGACGACGAGTTCGTGGTGACGGGGTCGCGCGATAATAAGCTTGCACTGTGGCGCGCCCCGGCCGCCCCCCCGCCCCGCGCGCACCTGCACCACTACGTGCACCCCCACGCCGTGCGGGAGTGTCGGTCAGGTACACTCCACGCTTGTATCCACCTGGTTGAACTCTTTATCTTGAATTACCTAAGAGGTATAAATGGGGGAGGTGTGAGGTCCCCACATTGCCGCTGGGTGCTGGAAGCGCGCAGAGGCCGAGTTTGGTTGTGATTAAGAGAGATGTTCATAGTTCATAGTTCATAAGTTCGTTCATAGTTTAAATCGTCTTTTCGCATAAAAACTGTACAATTTCCAAAAATATTCGAAATTGAGTTAATATGCGGAATAATTTGGTATCACCGGTATTTTTCTGACAAATACTGTCAAAATAGCGTAGTTTAGTTTTTTTTTACTTATATTTTGAGTACTATAACAAAATTAATACATAATTTTATCTTACTTTAAAAGACAGATAATGTATAATAACTGGTAAAAACTAAAAAAAATTTTTTTTTTATTATGTCCGAGATTTGTGGACGAGCTCACAGCCCACCTGGTGTAGAGTGGTTACTGGAGCCCATAGACATCTACAACGTAAATGCGCCACCCACCTTTGAGATATGAGTTCTAAGGTCTCAGTATAGTTACAACGGCTGTCCCACCCTTCAAACCGAAACGCATTACTGCTTCACGGCAGAAATAGGCGGGGCGGTGGTACCTACCCGTGCGGACTCACAAGAGGTCCTACCACCAGTAATTACGCAAATTATAATTTTGCGGGTTTGATTTTTATTACACGATGTTATTCCTTCACCGTGGAAGTCAATCGTGAACATTTGTTGAGTACGTATTTCATTAGAAAAANGCGGGGCGGTGGTACCTACCCGTGCGGACTCACAAGAGGTCCTACCACCAGTAATTACGCAAATTATAATTTTGCGGGTTTGATTTTTATTACACGATGTTATTCCTTCACCGTGGAAGTCAATCGTGAACATTTGTTGAGTACGTATTTCATTAGAAAAATTGGTACCCGCCTGCGGGATTCGAACACCGGTGCATCGCTCGACACGAATGCACCGGACGTCCTATCCTTTAGGCCACGACGACTTCGTTGCAAAGATGATTAATATTAAAAATATCATATGTTAATTACTTAGTTTTTTAAGTTATAGTTATAGTTATTAGTTATTAGTTATAGTTATAGTTATAGTTATAGTTATAGTTATAGTTATAGTTATAGTTATAGTTATAGTTATAGTTATAGTTATAGTTATAGTTATTACTTATATACCTTTAAAACATTCTCCTGTAAAATTTTGAAATTTTGTGATTATACAGTTGACTCATTGACTCACAGGTCTAAAAGTCCGAGCGCTGACGTTCAACGAGCGCTGGCGGGAGATAGCGGCACTTACCCTCAACGGCTACATACACGTGTTCAACGCGGAGACCTTCCGCCAGACGCTGTCCAGGAAGCTGCCCTCGTGCCAGGACTTGGTGTGTCTAGCCACCCAGGTGAGCGCCGCCTCATGCGTACCGCTCCGGTCATCGCCCACTCAGTTTCTAGCCGGATCTTCTCAGTGAGTCGAGATTCCGATCCGGTGGTAGATTCTGCAAAGCACTGCTCTTGCTAGGGCTAGTGTTAGCAACACCTCCGGTTTTAGCCCCGTGAGCTCACCTACTAGTTAGGGTTACGCTGATATAGCCACCAAGGCACTCAACAAGGTAGGAAAAAAAAGTTACCACTGCGGCAGGCTGGACACCCCCCGCGCCTCCACCGACTGCCGTAGCCATTACACAGCACAGGATATTTGACAGATGCCTGAATCTTGCTTACGTCATTTTCAAGATAAGCTTGCATATATACAAGTTCCGAAAAGTAATATCACCCACTTGGTGGAAGACAGTCTTGTGTTGTATGCTGGCTATCCACCACATACCTAAGGCTTCAGAAGTGTTCGCAGCCTCCTTACTCTTTACAATACAAATAAAATTATTTTCCTTGCTTGTTCAGGGTTAATGTTGTACATTTAGTCGGCATTGTTCCATAACGAATAGTGGTCCCTCATGAAGGCAATGTTCGCAGCAAGAGAGCGGCATGTACGCGATCGGCTGCAAGTCGTACACGCTGCTGCTGGACTGCCGCACGCTGCAGTCCGTCAAGAAGGTCACCTCCCGGTACTCCGGCTGCGGGGTCCGCTCCGCCAGCTTCCGGGGGAACATGCTCACCATCGGGACCGGGCTGGGTCAGTACCCACCACTAACGACTTTTATAACTTTATTCCTTTAGTCAATTTTGTAATGGTATTTAGTGGTTACCGGAGCCCATAGGCATCTACAACGTAAATGCGCCACCCACCTTGAGACATCTAAGGTCTCAAGTATAGTTACGACAACTGCCCTTCCCTTCAAACCGAAACGCATTACTGCTTCACGACAGGAATAGGCAGGGCGGTGGTACCTACCCGCGCGGACTCACAAGAGGTCCTACTACCAGTACAATTATGACCACTTGTGAATCTAAGCCGTGGATATATCTGCCAGCGGCACCCCAATATAGCACTTGTTAACAAACAAATAGAGTCGTTTATCTAACGCTCTAGTCGCGTCCGTTGCAGGTCTCCTGATGTTCTACGACCTGCGCGCGGGTAAGTACCTGGAGAGCAGCATCCACTCGTCCAAGACGGTGACGCTGAAGGCGTCCCGCGGCTACCTGTTCCCCGAGGAGGAGGCGGAGGGCGGCGTCAAGCACGTGCCCGCCATCTACACGCACTGCTACGACTCCTCGGGCACCAGGGTGTTCACTGCGGGCGGGCCCCTACCGGCCCCCCTAGTCGGGAACTACGCAGCCATATGGCAGTAGCGAACCGAGCGAAGGCCTCAGATTCACTTTACTTTACTTATTCACTAGCGACCCGCCCTCGCTTCGCTTCGGAAACATTAAATTTTATTATTGATAGCTGAGTCCCGCAAAGTTACCCGCGGTTATTGTCGTACCGCGGGTGACGTCGCGGGCCGAAGCTAATCTTAAAAAAAGTAGCCTAGGCTACTCCTTATATTATCAGCTACCTATCAGTGAAAGTCTCGACAAAATCGGTCCAGCCGTTCCAGAGATTAGCCGGAACAAACAGACACAAAAATTGTAAAAAATGTTATTTTGGTGTATGTACCGTATATATATATATATATATATTCATATTCATTAGTAAAAAGCGGTTATTTCAATATTACAAACAGACACTCTAATTTTGTTTATATGTATAGATAATATTTTTTTTAAAGAGATTTTATGACCTGGTAACTAAGACCTTTAAGTCATGTCTTATTTTACTTTATATTCTTAATTTTATGAAAAATGATAATATGGAGTGAAATTAAATGAAGATGATTAATTTGAGACATTAATCAACTGGGATGAAATTTAATGAAATGAAATGATATGGGATGAAATATAATCGCAGTAAAATGGTGGTCATTTACTGAGATTTTTTCAGTGGACTTTTTGGAGGAACCCGAGAAGTTACGTCCAGCAGCTTTGTTTCATTTTCCCACATTTGTGCACTTTCACAGATATTAAACAGTTAATAAACCACCGTTATTACACATTTAAACCTGAAGAAACACTAAATAGACAAAATAAAACAAATCACACAACTTCACTCCTCGCGCTCCCGCCAAAAAGTCAAAATAATATTTTTTTTTTTTTAAGAGATTTTATGACCTGGTAACTAAGACCTTTAAGTCATGTCTTATTTTACTTTATATTCTTAATTTTATGAAAAATGATAATATGGAGTGAAATGAAATGAAGATGATTAATTTGAGACATTAATCAACTGGGATGAAATTTAATGAAATGAAATGATATGGGATGAAATATAATCGCAGTAAAATGGTGGTCATTTACTGAGATTTTTTCAGTGGACTTTTTGGAGGAACCCGAGAAGTTACGTCCAGCAGCTTTGTTTCATTTTCCCACATTTGTGCACTTTCACAGATATTAAACAGTTAATAAACCACCATTATTACACATTGAAACCTGAAGAAACACTAAATAGACAAAATAAAACAAATCACACAACTTCACTCCTCGCGTTCCCGCCAAAAAGTCCATATGTATAGATAAAGGCGTTTTTTTTAGTCTGTAATTACTAGTAGTCGGAGTATGTAGATTGATTTAAGGTCGTTGACATCAAACGTAGAGGATAATACGGATAGGCCTCCAAAATACCGGAACTTCATATTTATTGTGATATTTGTTCCGGAATTTTGAAATTAACATGAATCTGTGTTTAAAGTGAAAAATGTATTAATAATATTAATCTACGCTACCGGTGCTAGCTAATGGTGAAAGAAATCAGTATTTTATTTTATACAAAAACACGTTGGAATAGTTATACCGTATTTTGTCCCTTTCTGTTGAATTAGAAATGACGCTTGTCAGTATGAGACAAAACTTAGACAGGGCTTTTTGTTACCTTATCTCATAAATATAGAAATTGTACCCGATGAGGATTAAAAATTGTTTTTTAATTTAAAAAATAATCATGGATAAAATGGCATGTCCATATTATAATATCTTGACGTAAGTATATAAAATCAATCTACCTACTCCGACCACAGGTAATTACAATACAAAAACTTTGTGTGAAATCTCAGTAAATGACCATCATTTTACTGTGATTATATTTCATCCCATATCATTTCATCTCATCTCATTTAATTTCACCCCAGTTGATTAATGTCTCAAATTAATCATCTTCATTTCATTTACTTCACTCCATATTATAATTTTTCATAAAAATAAGAATATAAATTTAAATAAGACATGACTTAAATGTCTTAGTTACCAGGTCATAAAATCACTTAAAAAAATTTCTATATGAATCTTTTCTCAATTATGACGTAATATCGGCTGACGTATGCAGATGGCGTGCGAGTAAACACGTTGAGGTACCGTTACCAAGTGAATCCCTCGTTATTTTATATAAGTAGCGTCACGTGTCGCGGCTTACACTTAAACTCGTAAAGTTATCTTGCTGCGGTCCTCGGGCTGCGTGATCAGGCGTCCGGCTGTATCGCCGACAACGCGCGACTGTTCGACTGTATTTTAAATTAAAAATATCTTCAGGTCGTTTAGTTAGACCCTCCTCCTCCTCGCGTCGTTTCCTCACTGCTGAGGGTCGTGACCATTACATTTCGACAGGATTTTACTCGTTGTAATGTCCCGCTAGCGCCAGTTTTTTTTTTCTACCTATCTGAGTGCTATTTCAGCGTAACCTTAACTAGTAGGTGAGCTCACGGGGCTCAAACCTGATGACGTTGCTAACACGAACCCTAGCAAGAGCAGTGCTTCGCAGAATCTACCACCGGATCGGAAACGCGACCCACTGAGAAAATCCGGTGAGAAACTGAGTGGGCTGTGTCTGAGGGTTCGTTTACTCGTCAAGCCCTTCGTCTCGCTCTTCGTCGCGAGCGACGGGTTCGACGAGAACGATGACCGGAGCGGCTCCGATCATTGGCCACATGAAGGGCGTCGTGGAATGGGATCTCTAGTGTGGTGCGGATTTGTTCAAACCACCTTGTCGGACTGCGCCCGCGCGATCTGATTCCGTCGATCTTCCCTGTCACGAATAGTCTCTCTAAGCTATCCGCTTAGCTAAGACCTCTAAACTAAAATTTAGGTCAATTATTTAATGAAATTCTACCCTATAAAATGGCCGCTTCATAAAATGACAGAAGCAATTGCGATTCCATATTGTTATGTTCAGTTTTAGATATCTCTAACTAATATACGGGATATATGAATTAGAGGCTATGTTTAAATGCCTATTTCTGCCGTGAAGCAGTAATGCGTTTCGGTTTTAAAGGGCGGGGTAGCCGTTGTAATTATACTGTGATTTTAGAACTTATATCTCAAGGTCACTTAAGACCAGGTGGGCTGTGTGCTCGTCCACACATCTAAGCAATAAAAAATAAATTAAAAAAGTGTGGTTACAAAGTTTATGTAAGAAATAACAAGTTCGAGTTTCTGATATATAATTAATTATAACTTATGAGACGGTATGGACATGTAATGAGACGAAATGACAATGAGGTTGGTAGTGTGGAGAGTGCTAACTATGAATGTGGAAGGATATAGAGGAAGAGGTAGACCTAAGAAGAAATGGATGTATCGTGTAAAATACGTTATGGGTAAGAGGGGAGTGAGCGACGAAATGGTATATGATGGAGGAGTATGGGAGGAGAAAACATGTTGATCCCAGGTGACTGGGAGAAGGGCAGGAGAATTTATAAGCTACATGTCAAAAAAAATGTGTGGTTTTATGAAATCACGGTAAAAGTGAAACTTTTTTTCACATTATAGACATTTAACTCTGACAAACAACATTTACATTAAACACTGACAAAAACAACCAAAATAGCGTGGAGCACTGGCACAAATGGGTGATAGTCTATACACTACACGGTCAGCTGCTGCGAACTATAGGCGCCGCCATATTGGCCTTGGCTGCTCTGACGAGCGCCTTTCACTTTATCCCTACTCCTCGGTCGACCGTCACGCGACATGCAACACACAGACGAAAAAGTTTGAGACGATGTAATAAAAGTTACACTATAATAAACATTATATTGTTTGCAATTATTTTACATAAAGTACATAATATTGTAATAGGTTATTAATTGGAACGAAGTTCCTTATCGCGCGTTGTGAAAGGGGGCTAGACGGAAAAAATTCTTACGAAAAGCTGTCACGACACTTTTTAGATCCGTCATTCTGACCAATCAACATGTAGGCGCTTATCGCGTGACATTGCTCGTATCCGATTGGTCCGCGTAATGAATACAGTTTCTCGAGATAGCGTTTCAACAATAGTAATTTAGTTCATAGTATTGTTTTTTTCTTCTTCATAATGCCGTAAATTACAATTCCTTCACTAATTAATCGAAAGGAACTTCGTTCCATCCGGGTGTCCCTTGACACCTCTGAAGTTTTTTATAATTTAGATATTATTTACATTAACCCTTTGACTGGCATGTAGGTCACCGGTGCCCTACGCGGCGCACTAAGTAACTATGTCGTCTTCTGTTCAGCGATTGTTCAACATCATTAGTTACGATATAAAAAAAGGTTAATAAATTAAATAAATTTGATTGCAACCTCAACGAGAATTTTCGCTCTCGACGCTTTGCAACGACCCTGTTATAGGAGGCCTGTTAGAGTCGTCGTGGCCTAGCGGATAAGACGTCCGGTGCATTCGTTTTGAAGCGATGCACCGGTGTTCGAATCTCAGGCGGGTACCAATTTTTCTAATGAAATACGTACTCATAAATAAATGTTCACGGTTGACTTCCACAGTGAAGGAATAACATCGTGTAAAAAAAATCAAACTCGCAAAATTATAATTTGCGTAATTACTGGTGGCAGGACCTCTTGTGAGTCCGCGCGGGTAGGTACCACCACCCTGCCTATTTCTGCCGTGAAGTAGTAATGCGTTTCGGTTTGAAGGGTGGGGCAGCCGTTTTAACTATACTGAGACCTTAGAACTTATATCTCAAGGTGGGTGGCGCATTTACGTTGTAGATGTCTATGGGCTCCAGTAACTACTTAACACCAGGTGGGCTCTGAGCTCGTCCACCCATCTAAGCAATAAAAAATAAAACTAAAGCAATAATTTTCCAATTTATTAAATTAAATCGTCAAATCGTGTGGCGTCTGACTAATGTATGAGAAGTCGGAACACTCGTCGCCTCGGTATTAACCTAACGAACACAAACCGAAGATTTCGTATTTTGATTGTGACATAATATTGAAAATACTGATAGGACATCCTTGTGCTTAGTGCTAGTCTCTTAACGTTCTCGATAGCGTTAAAGTTAACTCAAAATTTGTATGGAGTTGGAACGTTTGTCTACGTTTGCCGCTAGGGGCGCTGTTCCAACTGCATACAAATTCGAGTTAACTTTTACGATATCGAGAACGT